TAGGGGTGGGGGGAGGGTAGTAAAAGGGGGAGAATTTAACGACGCAAGAGTGTGCGGTTGAGAGCTCAATAACTTCAATATTTCAGATAACTCGCAGAGTTATCAGGGCGCTTACGGGAGTTACCGGGCATTTCACTTCGGCGGAATTTAACAAGCTGCCTCGTTTGAGGAGGCCTGGGGATAATGATTTGATAAGAGATTCCGCCGCCCTTGAAAACACTCACGCCTCCTCCATTGATTCAACGTCCTTAATCACTCGGGTCAGGTCAGGTTGGGTCAGACGACAACCTGTGGATGCTCGACGTTCGAGAAGGTTGTTCTCTCGCCTGTGCCCCCCGTAAAATTAACGGCGTGATAAATCCCCCAAGGAGTTTCGACCTACAGAATTCTCACCACGTACCGAGAGCTATTTACTATTTGCACAAAACGATCGAGGAGGGGCGTCTTACGCAGCGATGTGAAACCATTGCGGAGGCATAAACACCTTTGGAATAAACAGCGCATTTCCCCTCTGCCTTTTTCTATTGCCTACAAATTTTTGGACTAATTCGAAGCCAGTAATTTCTTCGAGAAAAATGTCGAAAAAGTCTATTGTCCTGAATCAAATATCTGTGTGATATTAATTTTCAAAGTGTAGATCTATGTCTTGCTAGATTTTAGATTTAAGAATTAATTAAAAAATATTTAACATCAAAGAACTGGAGAAATAATAACCTTCCTTGCTGTTTCTTTAATAAAGAAAAAGGATCGCTAAACCGGGATTTATAGATGAATAGTGAATTGAAATTTATCTCTTGAAGAGTTCGTGCATTTCGTGCGCCATAGCGTGGATTTATTCGTTCATAATTCGCACACTTGGATTCTTTCGTCCAATAAACTCATATCCCAGGCAATTCTCATAGTGTTATGAAATATATGTGCGAGGATGTCGAGTAATCAGCATAACATCGCACTTTCAGCGCGTGCATCGGCGCATAACAATTGAGCGTATCGACTTACGCGTTACCCGTTATGCGTTCTAACGATCGCGCCATGCGGCTTGTATATGGCACTGCCAATGAAATTTTGAAAGGGATTACCAAGGTAGATCCTGCTGCGCGCATGTGCTATTACGTGGCATTAAATTTGCGCACAATACAGACCCGAGAGTCTGCCGGAACATAGCGGAGATAATATTAGACGGGCGAAATATAATCAAACGGTTACGTTACGGCGAAGTCAAACATACAGACCGGTCTCTCGTTCTTCGGCACCGTTCGCTCAAAGGAAGTAGGGTAATCTATGCCTCTCGCATCTCTCCCCGTCTTGTCGCGTTAATGACAGCCGAAGCAAATCACGTCTACAGACGTTCTCGCTTCGAAAATCGAAGCGAGCGAACGTTTCGCCTTTTCGACCGCAGCTTAAAATTCAACGTTTATCGCAGTAAAATCACAGCTGAAAATGCTTACAAGTATATTATTCGATTATATTATCTATTATTTGATTAGTATTTTTGTGAATTAAATATAAAATATGTAAAACATACAATGAGAACTATTCGAATTTTATAAAAAATCTAGTAAAAATAATTAAAATTGTCTAAAATCAAAGAAGTAAAAAAAATTATTAATATTAATTGTATAATACTTGTGAGATTCTTTCTGTATATTGATGAATTTTTAGATATTAAATAGTCTTGAAACTATTATACTTGAATAGAAAAATTTTAGATTAATTTATCGTAACATACATTTTTAACTTGCAGATGAATACAATTGAATTATTTCAACCTATTCGATATTCACGTATAAAACCGGGCATTATTTAAGTAAATTTTTGTTTAGTTTGTTATTTGAAGAAAATTTTATTCCTTATTCGAGAGATGGCATTTTTATGAGCTACACGTCAAAAGATCTTGCCGGGATTCGTGCGGTGGGAACTTTCAGAAACGCAAATTTGCGCCGCGCCTAACTTTCGCGAGGGCGCGCGCACCACGTCCGAGGCGGTATCGACGTCCGAAAACTCGGCTCAGGTGAGAAAGTTATGCGCCTGTACGGAGCGTACAGATAACTTTTAAATATTCGGGAAAGTTCACGTGCCGATACACAGCACGGCGTAGAACGGTATATTTTTCCGTTCGATTCATAAAACGGAAAGAGCGAGTCTTATCGACATCCGGCAAACGTTATTTTTCCTCTTTGACGTCTGGTGGGCGCGTGTTATCATTTCCACGTCGGCAAACGGTCAAAAAAGGGCTCGTGCGACATTGAGTGAAAATGGGTCGTCCGATAATTCGTCCCCTCGAAAACACCGTTACGATATGTATGGATTTAGGTTAACATCATTTCGTCGATTTCGCAGTGGCGCGCGAATCTTTTGTTCACGATGTCTTGGAACACTGTAGAACTTTTAAGTTAACAGAGAATTCTTTATTAAACATAGCGTGCTTCTAATAGTGTAAAAAAGTATCTCTTTTTAAATAAATTTCTATACATGTATGTACTAAAAAAGAATACCGTTTTATCAAATATTAAAATATAAAATAGGTCATAATTTCCATGTTGCACATTAAATATTTTTACATATTTTAAGTCTATTATAGCGATTTTGAAAATATAATTTTCACACCTACAGTCTGTAAGTTTATTTTTATATTTTAATGTGAAGTCTCCAATGTGTCACTCAACGTCCAGCTTATCGTAATCTGTTTGCATCTCGGAAGCAAATATTTCCCTTATCAGGAGATTTTTCGAAGTTTTAAATTATCTTGTATTATTACTTAGCAAAAAATACATGATTTAATGTTTCTTAATTAGTCGATACAATTAGGACTGTACTACACATATGTACACATTGCGTGTTCTGAATGTATATTATGTGTTATTATCAAATTAAAAAGTATATAAAGATTATCGTTTCTCGACACAGTGCACTGTGTATCTATTATTTCGTAGCAGCTTTGTAAAACTCTCTAGAGAATTTAATAGCTCATAAATTAAAGATTATCGTCAAATCTTTTGCATCGCCAAACTAATTTGTTTAAAAAAAAATCTTTGAAGGTCTTGATACATTCGCATTTGCTGATTATACACCGGACTGTGTCCATCTATCTCTCCACTCTATAAGTGTTAAAGCACGCGATATAAATGAAAGGTAAGAATATTGGATAGGAGCACGCCGGGGCGCCGATAATTCGATCCCAGAAAAACGTTCTCGAAGCATCGCGGATTTGGGTCACTGGTTCGAGGCCTGTTGAATGCCAGTTCGTTCCGTTGATTCTGCCGCTGCTTCGCGGATTATAATCTTTACTGGAAACTCCGAGCGACCAACAACATATACGAGGCCACTTGAATACCGAGACTCGGATGAAGCACGCGGGGAAGAGAGGGAAAAGAAGAGAGGGTGAGAGGCACAGTATCGTAGATCAAATCGGTGGATGGATTTGCCTTGTTCCGCGATTTTCTCGTCGTCTCGCGAAAACGCTTAACGCCACTGTATTCAAGCTTTAAGAATTCATAAATACTTGAAAAACTCAAATATACCTATCTGGATTTTCCTCTTGCGCAAATTTCGCGATATCAACGACACTCGAGTTATTCCTAAGCTCTCGTGATATTAAAGCTGGATT